CCTTTTTACCAATAATATTATATACATTCTCTTTTCCTTTCTTCTGTTTTAGGTGCCTAGCGTCTTTATTTTGACAATCTTTCTTGCCCAGGGAGGGTCCCTTACATTAAATTGGTAGTCCCCCTAGACCTTTTCTCCAGTTTTTTTTTCTTAGCTTGATCCCAAAGCTTATTTTCCTGTTCTCTATTTGCTTGAGTTAGGTCATTACTCACTCCAACTTTTTAATACTTTGGATTAGACTTTATATAGTGCCGTGTATGTTTTTAAACAGAGTTATCTTAGGTTCAACACTTTGTAATTTAACTAAAATTGGTCTATTTAGTTTTTCTTTATCAAATTTACCTAATCTTTTGACAGTTTTAAGATTTTCATTATCTAGTTGAATCTTGCATTCTTTAAACAGCTCGTTAAGCTTTTCCTTGTCAAATTTATCTCTTTCTCATTTGCTCTTTTCATCCATTTCTGGAATCCCAAAGAAAGTCAGGTTGTTTCCTCGTGACTTTCTTTCATTTCTTTCTTAGAGGACGTTGGTTACTGTCTCCTTTTTACTTTTTCTAACCGTATTTGCTTTTTACCTAATCGTCAGGGACATCACCATTTCAAATGCTTGCTGGCATTTGTATTTTGTTTATTTCTTCATTTATTATGGCTTTCACTTTCTCCTCACGACAGCTGTCTTCTATTGTTGACCCTGATTCTTGTAATTTGCTGACTTCTTCTTTTACAATCACCTTGACCATTACCTCGTTACATATGCTTATTTGCTCTTTTATAATCTCCTTGACCCTTTTTTCGTCACATTGCATCACAATAGTCTTTTCTAGAGAGGAAACTCTCTCTTCGTAATTTTCCATTATTTGTTTTCACCTTCTTTCAAATTCAATGTCAGTGACTGCATGCTGCTCCATGCTTTTCATACATGTCACGTAAAACCACATAGCGTCTGATTTACATAGCATTATGTACGGGTTTTGTTTTCTTTAGACAGGCTTTACAGAAATGATCCTAGCACCTTTGCATTCCATCAGTTGGGCATCAGGCTCTTTTAATACTTTCACACATTTTGCACATGTCCATGCGTCTTCCCCATCTTGACTTGTTTTTAATTATGGTTTTGAGCATGAAGTACTGTTTTTCCTTGCTCGCGCCATTTTATCTTTTATTTTTGAAAATAAGGCTTCCCTAAATTTCTTATTTACGTTACTAATATAGCGATAAAATTGGTATAAGGCTTCCTTGTACCAAAATATTTCTTATTCACGTTTCTTATATAGCGATAAAATTGGTATAAGGCTTCCTTGTGCCAAAATATTTCATCTTATTTTAATATTATTTCTATTATTAATTCCCCCTTCTTATTGGACAAGGCTTCCCTATCCATATACGTGTTAATTGACAACAGAAGCTAGACTCGTGTGACAGGGTTTCACTATCATGAGTATTAGTTATTGTTTTTGGACAAGGCTTCCCTATCCTGAGACAGTATCCTTCAGAAACAAGGCTTCCCTATTTCTCACGCTTTAGATGATTATTTTGATAATTTTTGCTTATTACTTTTTCTTCAATAATTTTCAGGACAAGGCTTCTTTATACTTGTGACATAGACTGCACGGTCCAACGATTGAAATAAGGCTTCCATATTTTATCGGATTCCAGATAATATGCACTTAACTTTTTCCTAGGACAAGGCTTGCCTATCCTCATACATTTTCTATAGCATTGACCTTTAGTATGAACACAGGGCTTCCTAGTTTTTCTGATTTCTGTTCCTCTATTCGGCAAAACTAGGCTTCCCTGTCTCACTCATCTCTGGTAATAATTTGTTATAATATGCTTATGTATTTTTTTTTATATAATACTAAACACAAGACAGTGCTTCACTATCCAACTATGAATCTCACCTCTTTAATAATATTTTATCCAAACAAGGCTTTCCTATCTGGGTTAATATATGTAATTACCTTGTAATATTTGTGACTGAAACAGGGCTTCCATATTTCCGTATCACCCCTCCTTTTAACAAGTTTCAGACACCTCTATTGATATCTCCACCAATTTGCCAAGTGATCTGCCTTGATGTATTCGGTCGGAAAGCAGTTTATAATTTTTTCTGTACCTGACTCTGATCTTCCTTTTTTTTTGGTTTGCTATATATAATAAGGTCATGCGAAAACCTTTGTGCTGTATATTTGTTTCAATAAATCTATTAAGAAGATACAAATCAAGGCAAACGATCGTTTGTCGCGATAAAAACGATTTTTTGGTAGTACATGCAGCTGGACTATATAATTATGTTCATTACTCTCAATTGATAGTTCAAATATGAATGGAACCCTAAAGACCTAGCGATTTTACTATTATTGTTCGTAGAATAGCGTAATAGTTGAGCAGATTAACAGGTTTTTTGCTGGAAGTCACAAACAATCGATTTATTTAGTCACAGTTTAGGTGTCTTTCGGCGGGTAATTACGATCGTTTGCCTTGATTTGTATCTTCTTAATAGATTTAAAATATTGAACCTTCGGTAAACAACTGTCGGTTTTAATGTTATCAGAATGCGCTTTTATGACGTTTACACAAAATAGAATATTTTGTTGAAAAAGGTGCCAACGAATTTAATATGATACCGTGTACGGCAATAAATAAATATTCAAAGGTGTTGACACATGTCGAGATATCAGGAATATGTACAAAATTAAAGGACGCCATTATGATAATGCACAGTCAAAGGGTTATTAAATTTCTGATTATATTTTTTATGTACAAAAATTACGTCAGATCGAAGGCGAAACACCGTAATCAGTTGGAAAACAAAACATGCGGTCGTACGTGGAATGAAGATAAAACAAGAATCTATATTTAGAGAGAACACGATAACGGTTTTTGTAAGGTTGCTGAGTCTTTTGATGTCTATATTGTAATTCATAAATTATTGTTTGTCTGTTGGTCGTCTTTCGTTTTCGCCATGGCGTTGTTAGTTTTTGTTTTGTACTTAAGAGTTTGAACTCTCTTGTATCCTTGAGGTCATTCATACATAGTTACGTAGAACCAGGAACATGTATGTACTTTGAAACTTATAATTAAAAGGCAAACTCAAGCAATTTGATTACGGGAGAAATTGTAAAAATGTGCTTTTAGCAGGCTTCAATTCCAATAGTGGTCGGTCACATTAACAGGATAACTAAGTTGCAGAAGGGGTATTTTAATTTTGACAATAAACTATCGAATGAGTTTTAGATCTTAAATAACAATTAGGTGCCTTGAAAGATATGGTTTTCATAATTAGTTCAAATCAAAAGAGGCGAACGATACCAAAGAGACATTCAAATTTCATCAGTTGAAGAAAATTGACCTCACAATGGCAAAAACAAAACCGCAGGAAGACGGAAGACGAAGAATTCAACAAAATACTACATAGAAAACTATCGACTGAGCACCACAAAAAAGCCGAGGTTGTTTCATAGAAATGGTAATTTTACAAAATGTCAAGAAATTGTCAGATAACAACACATTATATTGTTATTGTATCTGATATGCAATTTGACAGGTAACCTTGTTCATCTTATAGCTAAATCAGAATTGATCTACAATGGCCAAAAGTGAAACCGATTTTAGGTAATCAACGTCCATATCCTTAGATGGGTGTTTTAACACATAGACGTACCCAATAACATGGTACTGAATGATGGTAAAATACCCATATCTACGGATATGAACATAGAAAACAAATGTATCCCCGGTTTTAGTCCGAATGGGGCGATTTTTAAGCCAATTCGGGCACAAAGTGTTACGTGAAAGCAACGTTTTGTTTTATCATTTAAAAAAAGTTTTATTGAAATTTGGAAATTTGACATTATAATAGGTAGACCCCTACAAGTGGTCAAATATGAGACGTTTTTAATTCCTGAGACAGAGAAACTAGAATAAAAGAAATTTTGCGCTCAATGTTACGAGCGTTATGTCATGAACGGCGAGACTTCAACGAAGGTCATTTGCAAAACTAGGTCAGTAACACTGTTTATTGACGACGTGGTAACCAAATGATTCATTTACTAAAATGAATGCAATGATTGGCATAAAAGGATAACATCGTTAGTGCATAATTGACTACAATCATGGATAATCTACAGAATTGTATTTTTCACTGCAAACAACCATGGAACTACGGAAACGTGCGTGAAGTTACCCGGAGTAATGGGTAGCAACACCGGTCCCGGTGTATGGGTTGCTATGTGTTTTTTAACGACCTGTCATTACCCAATGAAACCCAAGAAATATACTAAGCCGAGGATAATAAATTTAACATAGATCTAGTGCTAAACCTGTTATGATATAAACTATTAACCTCTGTGATATAGATATTGTTATATATAAGTTTAAGGGACAAATCCTAGAATTTCGTAGCCTGGGGTACTTTGCCATTCCTTTTTGCTCTGCTATAGTATTGGAAAAAATGCCAAATGACATTCATAAAAAACACCTCGTTTAATCGATGGCCACAGTTCATAAAAAGAAGCACACAGGATGATCACTTCAGTTTTGTAATGCAAATAAATAAAAAACTAATAGATCCCTGGAATTTAACCCAAAGTCTGATATTTAAGTTGACTCATTTTTAGTACTCTTAAATCGAAAGACAGTGTACTTCTGCGTATGGCTACAAAACAAATCCCTGGTGATCCTGTATTTGTGTCCACGTATGCGATAGACGACCAAATAAAAGAACCTTCTTGGCAACTTTCTGTGTGTTCAATATCAAAGTCATATTTCCATTTCCTTTCTTCAACTATTGATTTAAACAATTTAAAATGTACTTGTACAAAACGACGTTACATATATATATTGTTATTACTGCTACGGCTATCCTTATTAATATTTGTTTATAAATAGAATGCACTACAATGGGTTTGCTTATTTACATTTAAACAACCATGTTACGCTATAAACACTCGTAAAACTAACATGAGTAACACATGATGCATTACAAAGATTACCTCAATTTATAATTATAGAATAATGACGTAATACACTGAGGTACTACAAAAATGTATATAAAAGAAGAAACAAAAATAAAGATCAAAAGGGGTACACGATTGAGTGAGAATGAGGTATATAACGTTTATTTAACATTGATCATTAATTTACCTTTAGCCTTATGAAGTTAAATATGATTATGGAAGAATATCTGTCCAGACACAGCATGTGATAAACAGGTACCCATAATTCATCGATTGGCATCCAACATGATCCAAAAAGAACACGTTTAGGCTATTTTTTCTGAATTTCCTCTGTACAACCTTATCTAATACTTGAGTTTGGAAACAACTAATATCTTAATGTATAATATATTCTATGATAATAAGATGCTAAGTAGAAAGACGAAAGGCAAAAAAAAACTGGATTTATTTCTAAAATTTTTTTATTAGTTTTTTTGTTTAAATATTTAGTTGTTTCTTCTACTTTTTGGAATGAGTTATGAGCTAACATTCCATGATAGAAAGGATTGTTGTGTTTCTTTCTTGTAAACAACTTATAACAGGAAGTGAAAAGCTATGATTTTAATGGTCTATATTTATAACTAGGATTAGCTTTTCAAAAAGCTATACTGACTAGCACTTATAAGCTTTCAGAAGTGTGTTACGGTTACTTGACGACAGTACAGGTTCTGATATATGATAAGGACTTTATTTAAGGTCGGCTTAGATTTTGTAAATGGTTCGGGACTACCTACGAAGATTTAGAGTAGACTATGAACTCAAGGTGAAAAAAGATTCGAAAGATACATATAGATTGCACCACTGCATCGAGCGTAATACGATTTTCTCCACTTGAGACAGTTAAATTTTCAAATTTAAAAACGCAAGGCTTGCCGATTGATTTGATATAAAATTCAATTGTCGAGAGTGGAGAAATATCGTGTTCCACGAGATGCTGCGGTGGAATCTGTTTCCCTAATATTTTGTAGACAAATTTGTCTTTCAACGATCTGTTGAATGTTCTCTCTATTTGTGACGTCATCAGGTATTGTCGCTTTTTTTTCGTGTCGTCATAAAAGCAAAATTTGAAGAAAACAAGAAAATTTTACGTCATAATTGAGTTTTCACCAATGAACAACAGAGATTAAAGGAATCACACATTCATCATAAAAATAATCAACCGGTCGGGGAAAGCATAAATCGGCTAAGAATTAGAGAAAAATTTATATTCAAAATTCATTAGTCGAAGAGAAAAAGAAAAGAAAAGAATAACTACAAAAAGACAAACAACAGTATCAAAACACTTCAAGGAACACTCAAGAATGAGAAACACGAACCCATTAAAACCGGAAGTGATATCAAGTGACCTTGAAAGAGGGTAAGCAAGCTAATTATTTCATTTAGTAATATCAAGTCAATATATTACTACTGCAAGATTTTGATATCTATAGATATTTTTTTTATCAGAAGCCAACAATAGATATCATCATACCTATCATGTAGAGTTTCTTTTTGTTTTTCTCAAACATGAGTTAGATGGCCTGAATAAACTGAAATATACAAAGAGGAATATCATCGAAAGAGCAACACCTCAGTGGTAAGGATATTTACAATAGTTTTTAACATCGTTTCGATTTATGAGATTTGAACATCGGTAAACTACTGTTGCCTACATTGACGCTATATCCAATAATTTAATGGACTCTTATATAATCAAAGTCAACTATGTTAAACAGAGAGGCGCAAGATACTAAATAGATAATCAAACTCATAAGTCGAAAGCGAACTATAAATGCTAAAAACAAAAAAACAAAACAAATACCAAAGAATATACAAATAAGAAGATGTGGTATGATCGCCAATGAGTCAACTCTCCACAGGTGACCAAATGACACAGAAATTAACAACTATAGGTCAACATACGGCCTTCAACAATGAAATAAGCCCATACCGCAGAGTCAACTATAAAAGGCTCTGAAATGACAAATGTAAAACTATTCAAACGAGAAAACTAACGGCCTGATTTATGTACAAAATAATGAACGAAAAACATATATGATATACAGCAACAAACAACAACCACTGAATTACAGTCTCCTGACTTGGGACAGATACATACAGAATGTGGCGGGTTTAAACATATTAGCTGGCGCCCAACCCTCCCCCTAACCTGGGACAGTGGTGTAATAGTACAACATATGAACTATAAAAATCATTTGAAAAGGGCTTAACTCATCAGATAGACTACAAAACCCACATAGAAAATTAGAAAACCCACAGAGCAACGCGAACCCTACCAAAAAACGGGAAGGGGATCTCATGTGATAAGGAGGGTAAAGCAGATCCTGCTCTTCATGTCGTATCTAATGAAATTACAAACCCGGTGATAAGTCTTATAAATCGAGGAAGATAGGAAGTGATTGTGGTTACGATTATTTGAACACATTTGACGTCATCTGTGCAACTGATATTCAATAACGGTTAAACCATGCCAGCTCGTGATGGCGTCTTTAAAATTTTCGAAGGAATGACTTCAACTTCACTACTTTGAACTCTTGGTTTAGCTTCTTTGTAAGCAGCAACCCTCTATCAAGGAAATAATGATAGAAGAAATACAAGCCATGTAATATCGTATCAACTGGGAGATATGTACTCCATATACAGGCGCTGCTGGAATGTTGCTATATATAAATTGAAAGTTCACAATTGGGGAGCTATAATCATCTCTTTTGTTCTCAACAAATTTGACCAATTTTTTAGAATTGATCCCATAATTGAGACAGATACAGTAGAAGTGGCTAAACCGTTCAAACGCAACCATAAAAACAAAAACTTAACGTTAATAAAAAATTGTCTGAGGTCAAAAAATTAATTGTTTAAAATGATACTTTTTGATTTTTGTGTGTGGTTAAAAAGTGAAGAACAGTACATGTATCTCACGAATAAATAGAACAATCAGTTAGATGTTTTTTTTTTTAAATATTATAAGTTGGCATTTAGTAGCCTGTATTTCAGTGGTTGTCGTTGGTTCATGTCTGTCATGTTTGTTTTAGTCCACTAGCGACGAAGTCAAAGGATACTTCAGGTTTGCACTCTGTCCGTCTGTGTGTCTGTCTATCCGTCAGTCCGGTAAATCAGTTTTCCACACTTTTTTCTTCATGCTTGAAGATATTGATTTGATATTTTGTATATAGTTTTATCATGACAAGTTACAGATCAAGTTCAAATTTTGTTTTGGTCTGATGATTTTGCCCAGAGTTATGGTCCTTTGACTTAGAAAATTCACTTAAATTATCAGTTTTCTGCACTTTTTTTTATCATGCTTGAAACTATTCATTTGATAACTGGTGTATAGTTTTATCATGACAAGTAACAGATCAGTTTCGAATTTTGTTCCAGTCTGATGATTTTGTGTAGAGTTATGGTCCTTGAACTAAGAAAATGCACCCACATAATCAGTTTTCCTCCCATTTTTTGTCGTGCTTGAAGATATCGATTTGATAATTGGTATAGAGTTTTGTCATGACAAGTTACAGATCAAGTTTAAATTTTGTTCCGGTCTGATGAATTTGTGCAGAGTTATGGTCCTTGAACTTGGATAATTCACTCAAATAATCAGTTTTCCACACTAATTTGGTCATGCTTGAAGATATTGACTTAATATTTGTTATATAGTTCACACCCTGACAAGTTATAGATCAAATTAGCATTTGGTTCCAGAACAATGAATTTTTAACCGGTAGGGGACTATGTATAGCCATGCAATACTCCCAGAATGCTTGTTCGTTAATTGTTTTGTTATAAATTAGGCCGTTAGTTTTCTCAGTTGAATGGTTATATATGTTTAATGTCCGAGCCTTTTATAACCGACTATACAGTATGGGTTTGTCTCATTGTTGCAGGACGTACGGTTGCCTATAAATGCTTACATCTATTTTATTTGAACTTCGGTGGATAGTTGTCTCATTGGCAATCATACCTCATCACCTTATTTATATATATATATATATATATTTTTTTTTGACTGTCTTGGAATGGAGAATATTTAATAAGTAGCACTTTATTGATTTAGAAGCATAATAATTTATATCGTATGACCATTCATTACCAGTATCATATAATTCTGTTCGATTTTATTGTAACATTTCTATTTGCAGTAAGGACCCAGGAAGGTCATGAGCAGTAGTGACTCAAAGTAAGGTTTGTCACAAAACAAAACAAAATCGTATATACCGTATGTATAAAACGTATGTATTAAATATACACATGTGCATAGATAGGACGAATAACATTTATATTTCGTATCATAATTAATACTTCGAAAACACAACAACGAAAAACTAATTTAGTTTAAGCTCATGGTGCGCCATGGCCAAGAAAAGCAATCCAATTTTAGTACAATTGATGTCTCGGATAGGTTAAAGGTAAAAATGTAAAATGTTTCCGGAGCTGCGAGGGTGACAAGTTCAAAGGTTCTTCAAGCCCTAGAAATGGAAATTCGAAAGCATGAGCATATCTTTATGTTATTACATACGAATAAAAGGTGATGTGTTGCATCGGTCATATAGACTAAATCAATGTAAATTCGATCTAAGTAGGTTTATACATTATTCTTTTTTTTTTATTTAACCGAAATGTTTGTTTTAACATAAAGAGTAATAAGTAAAAGTCTTTTAAAAGTGTTTGGCTCTGACATTCAGAAGAATAAAGAATATATCCTCGACATTTATGTCTTTTTAGGAAGAGAATGTGTACTACAGAAACGTTAGAGAAAATATAGATAGGTCTTATTAATTATGGAAACGATTTTAGATATTTCAGTCATTTTGTTTTATTTGAACTTGATATCCATGTGGTTCGTGTCACTCAAACTTTAGTTTTCAATGCATCATTTTATGAACTGTTGTTTGTCTTTTCATCTTTTTATAGCAACTGTTGTGTCTTCGTTTTTTTTACTAGGGAGATCTGAGCACACTTCTCTTCAATTTGCATCATATACATTTTTATACGACCACAAAATTTTTGCGGCCGTATAATGGTATGACGTTGTAGTTGTCGTCGTCATCGTTCGAAGACATTTGATTTCCAGACAATAACTTGAATATAAGAGTATGGATATCTATGATGTTGTATCACAAGGTTTCATACTTAAGAAGAAAGGTTGGGATTGATTTTGGGGGTTATTGACCTACCTGTTTAGGAGTTAGGGACCAACAATGGCCAAAAAAAAGCATTTGTATTCTTTCAGGACAATAACTTGTGCATAAGTGTATGGATCTCTATGAAATTGTACCTCAAGGTTTCACACCTCAAACGGAAGGTTGGGATTGTTTTTGGATGTTTTTGCCAAAACTGTTAAAGAATAAGGGGTAAAAAATCAAGGATTTTCCGGTTTCCGGACAATAACTTGAGTATAAATCTATGGGTCTCTATGAAAAAGAAGGTTGAAATTGATTTTGGGGATTGTGGTCCTAATCGTTAAGGGAAAACGGTCTAAAAATAATACTTTTCTAATGCTTTGTACGCATTGTTTATTTCTTATCCAATTGAAATGGGGTTTAGTTCAAAGACTTAAATTATGAGGGTTCTTTAATATGCTGAATCTAACCGTGTACTAGTATTTAGATTTTGGCCCAAAATAAATCTTTGTTTGATTTCGACAAAATGGAATCGTTGGGGTTCCTTAATATGCTGAATCTAACCATGTATTTAGATTTTGGATATTGGACCATAATAAGTAAATGTCCAATTTCAAATCTTTAAGTTCTTAGACCACATTCATTCTGTGTCGGAAACCTGTGACCAATATTTAATCACAATCCAAATTCAGAGCTGTATCAAGCTTGAACGTTGTGTCCATACTTGTCCCAATTGTTCAGGGTTCGACCTCTACGGTCGTAACAAGCTGTGCCTTTTATTAAACATTAATGTTAAAATATGGTGTATGGATGTATGCTTTTAAGATATCGAAAAATATGGCGACTTTTGAAAAAATAATGCGATATCTAAACCGATTTCGGATGGTAAAAATATATTATAGTTTAAATGTAAGAAGCTGACACCCTAATACGAGAGCGTATATGACGATGTTGAACAACATTTCACACAAAAAAAAAAAAAATTCGAAAAGGTTATGCAAAATCTTGAGTATGCCATGTATTCCTTGGAATGAAAATCTTAAGTGTTTTACAAATTTCAATATTGGATGAGTAGTTAGTTTAAATACAATGTGAAATGAAGATTTCCAATCAGTTTCATTAGACATAAGAAAACGAAAACGGCTGTTTTTTTGTTCTAATCTATCGACATCTACTCAGCTGGAGGAGGTGATTGTTCTAGCTGTTTGAATGCTTACAGCCTCTTCCAAATTCTAGTTTTGTCTTTTTTTGATAGTTGAATAAATTGTTCCCAAAATGCTGTTACACATGTTATACCTAAAGTTTAAACGCATTTTCACCTTTATAATGAAGGAAGCAATGGCTGCAAGTAGGGAAACGGACAGGGACGGCTATGACCTTCCTGATGGTGATATAGATATAGCGGAACATTCGAAATGTGCACTTAAAAGATATTCAACATGTTTTGCATACATCAATAACAGACTTAATACGTTCAACAACTTGCCATCAAGTGTTAATATGTGGCCAAAACATCTTGCAGAAGCTGGGTATATACTTGTCAATGGAAATATAATTCAGTGTTATGAGTGCGCTTCAATATTAGAAGTGGGTAGCATGCAGGGAATTATGGATCCTTTAGAGATACACCACCTGAAATCTCCATCCTGTAAGTTTTTACGTGAGTACAAGTCGGATGAGTTTTAGTAGGGATCTAAAACTAATGTTACTGTTCCATAAGTATTTTTTACAGACATTGAACTTAATAAATTTTGATTTGTCTCTCTTTAATACATAGTAAAATAATAAAGTTGAAAAAAGACAGTCGAGGTGTTTTGGGGATTGATTTAAGTAAATTTATTTATCCGAGCGGCCTTTTTTAATGCTGTTACCTGGCCGAGGGGAGGACGACTACGATACAGACAGATGCACAAAACAATACTTTGCCTCGACAAGTTTTCCTGTGGTAAATTACATTACCTAAATAATACGTCGAACTGTTTAAATGATCATTCACTAATATACATTACTTGAGATATATTGACAAGATTAGCCTTTACAAAGTTTAAACATATCAATAAAAAACAAGTCCTAAAAAATCGTCAGAACTTAAGCAAGGACAATCACATTCGCACGATATAACAGCTGATACAGAAGAAACTCCTCGTTTATCTTGACCAACTGACTTAATTACATCTGACAGGTCAACTTTTATTGCTAATAATAAAACTAGACATTTTTCAAATAAACCTTGAGTCATTAACTTTCTCTGTATACAAATACACAAAGTTATATCCAAATAAACAAGACGCCAATATTTAGAAAGTATTGTTACATTGTAACAATATAATGACGTGTTTATTGCTGAAATTTTATTGCCTGCAAATAGTGTCACTTCTAAAAAGCCAGGATGAGCTCTCAATTTGTCTTCACTAGTATATGACTTTTAGTCTTAAACCGGTCATTTGGATTAAAACATTATCGAAACAGTCTAAACGTTGCAGTCAAGTTCATTATTTCAGTCATTTATCAGACGTATTCACAGCGGTAAATTCAGACATTTCACTTGCAGTCAATTCAGTACTGTCTAGTAGCTTTCCATACAGTTCAGTGTGATGTTGATGTGTATAGGTAAATAATAACTATCACAAGGTCTGAAAATAGACTGGACAGATCGTAAATGACTGCAAGCAAATTGTTTGAATCGTTCTGAATTAACCGCAATGGAAAAATCTAAGAATTCACTAAAAGATTGAAAATGACTCGATGATTTTTTAGTCTCCCCACAGCTGTTTAAAGGAGAATGACAGTTCTGATCTAATTTGGTTTAATAGTGCTCGTTTCAAAGACAAACCAACTTAAAAAATAAGGTCTTAAAATACTACACAAACACTCTAATTTTTGGAAATGAGTATAAATATTTACCCTCTAGAAGAGAAAAATGATGTGTCATAACATGGTATCTTATTTCAAAATAAATGAAAAGTTTGTCAATGACACATGACTGAATGCAATAAAAAATTTTACAACAACATCCAGATTGTAATCATGACAAGAATACGGAGATGCGGTATGATTGCCGTTTAGACAACTCTCCACCATAGTTCAAATAAAGAAGATAAAAGCAATTATAGGTCATCATAGGGCCTGCTACAATAAGGAAAACCCATACCGTATCGTCAGCTTTAAAAGGACCCGAAATGAAACTTTTTAAACAATCAAAACGAGAAAACAAGAGTATACAATATAATTTACAAAAAATAAATATGACAACGAAACCCATTGAACGACAGGTTCCTGACTTTGGATAGACACATCAAGAATGTGGCGTGGTTAAATGTGTGTTTGATCGCTCCAACCTTGGTTGATCGGTACAAAGCATAAACATCCACTTAACATAAAAACAATAGACAAGAGTACTCCAAGTTAATCAAAAACTAGCTCAAAGCAAATAACAACTATCAAATAAATTATGTTTTTTCAGACTAAATTATCAAAATTGTTATCTGGGACATGTCTTTTACCAACAATATGTTCATTGTAATTAGCTGTATATACTATTCAGACTACATGTGCTGTCAATTTCAATTAAGAGCAAATGAGTTAATTTTCTTAATTAGTTCCAATATCTACTTTGAGCAAAACAAAGTAAAAATTCATATTTCATATCATTTTAATTCACAAGGAAAAACTTTCATACTTCAAACTATACCCTACTTCATACCATTAAATTATACAATGATATATTAATGTGTGCCATACACCTTACTGTACCATCAGAGTCCATTCATGCAAGACATATTTAAGATGTTACAAAAGTAAAGATTCATATATATGATTTTTTTCAGGCTTTCAGAAGTTAAAGAAAGAGAATGAGGATCTCAGGAATTCATTTAAATGTTTTCAATGCAGAAAACGACATTTATCATATGTTTTGGTACCATGTAGCCATGTTGCTTGCGACACATGTTATGTTACAACCGTTTGCTTATGTAGCGCACTGGTAGAAAAAAGACATGCAGTATCATTGCCACTAGTATCTCAAAATTGACAATTGCATACTACATCAGAAATCTGCTTGTGAAATGATACATTACAGTGCTATCAATTATTTTTTCTACCGATTGCTGCAACTTTTAAACTTTCGATTTGGACTTATAGTATTCAAAGGCAATCCACAAAGCCTATATTTGACATTTCCGACATATGAATAAGTCACATATCAAATATGTAATGTTTTGATAGAGGAAAAGCAAGATTCTTTCCACTTTTCCATTTATGAAACGTGTTCAATTATTAAATAAAATCAGAAGGTTGATTTGTTGTAAACCATTACAGGAGTTTGGCAGATTGGAAATTCACAAACAAAATTTAAATGTTTATATCATCTAGCTAATTTGTTGAGAATGAGTCATATTTCCTCGTAAAAGATCAAGCAAACCACTTCAGAAAAATAAATTTATCAATGCATTCCTTAGTGATCAAATTCCGATACTGGAAATATTTTGTGGCAATTTGTTTTTTTCTACTTCTTTTTTTCATTCTACTGGAATTTTTGTGGATATACATGTTAATGCCTGTTGAATAATCCGGTTATAGTTTATCTAACGAAGTAAACCATAAACTCTACAAATTGTCGTTTTATATCGAGAGTAACTCAAAACAATTAAATGATACGCTTAGATAATATAAACGTCTCAAAAAATACGTCACTTTTTGTGATGTTAATCCATTCATGTGACGCGCAGTTTATATTTCGTGTGTGGTGTCCTGGTGTGCTGTCGTAAATTCATGGGAAGTGTCCGTTGTTAGTCTGCGGTTTACATGTTGTAATGTACTATTATTTTATTTATTATGTATTTATCTGTGCTGAGTGTTCTTGCGTTTGTTTGTACTGTATTCCTGTCACGTAGTCTTGTCATTTTAGCTTTGCCATATCAGCGGAAGGTTTGGCTAGCCATAAAACCAGGTTCAACCTACCATTTTTTCTTAAAATGTCCTGTACCAAGTCAGGAATATGGCAGTTGTTATCACACATTCCGTTTCTATGTATGTTTGTTTTTGTTGTAGATCAGTGTTTCTGTTGTTCCGTTGTTTTCCTCTTATAGTTGATGTGTTTCCCTCGGTTTTAGTTTGTTATCCAGATTTGTTTTTGCTTAATCGAATTCTGACTATTGAAAGCGGTATACTACTGTTGTCTTTATTAGATAAACATTGAAAAATATAAATTTTTCACAATTGTTTGGTATTATCGACTTTTTTTAAGAAAGGACCTAAATATCGTCCTCCATCTATAATAGATTGGAAACAGTGTCGTCAGGTCAATAAAGACGCCTTGTCTGCCTACTGTTAAAGATTGGTGTAAACGTGAAAAATCTGATAAAAAATCTCTAGACAGTTATTTCAATAAAATTATGAATACTGTTGATATACGTATATCTCATTTTGTAACAATTCTGAAATTAATAATAGGGTCCATGATATACCCATTTCTAGTATAAAAAATAAACTCCAAGTACTCGCAAAGCGGTTTGTGTTCTTACCGGCAGACAAAGCAGCCAATGATGTAGTGGTGGTGTGACGCATATACTACACGGAAGTTCTCTAAAACGAAATTATCAATTTGTGTACATTCAGGTCCGTACGCGCCACCGATAGTCAATTGTAAACAAGCATATCACTGCCACTACCCAGCATAAAGCCTCTTCCGGACATTTGAAAGTCCCGACTATGTACTGGTTAACTCAATTACACAAACAATCATTTAAATTCCGTTTCATCTCCACATCTAGTAAGTGTTCTACTACAAAACTGTCATTGCTTCTAACTACCTCCCTTACTACTATCAAAGAACTTGTTATTAACTTTTGTAATAAAGCTTATAAAAATAATGGTATCAATTATTTTTGGAGTGTTTAAAATTCATTAAAGGTTTTAAATAAAATACATGCTTTTGATAGTCCTTTTAATTCTGTTGACAGATTTTTCTACACTCTACACTACACTACCACACAATCTTATCAAGAAAAAGTTTTACATATTCAATTAAATGGTCTTTTGAAAAATTTCTTTACAAATTTATTAGCTGTAACTCGTTTAAAGCCTTTTTTTGTAACGAAAAAGGAAAGTATGCTAGATACTCTTACTAGAAATGTGAAGATATGATTGAAGCTTTAAATTTTCTGTTTAACAACATATATGTACGTTTCGGCGATAAAATGTATCGATAGGTAGTAGGTATTCCTATGGGCATTAACTGCGCCCCTTTAATAGCAGATTTATTTCTGTATTACTATGAATCTCAGTTTATGACCAAACTCAGTATAGACACGTCATTGTTACATTTGGTTGATACATTCAACAATACCTACCGTTATCTTGATGATATTTTTTCGTTAAATAATCCATAAGTTCTCTAAATATACTACCAAAATTTACCAAAAGGAACTTACTTTGAATAAATCTAACATAAACAGCAGTAGTTGTCCTTTTCTAGATTTAGACATTTCAATTTTTAAAGGGAAACTCCATACTAAAATTTACGACAAAAGAGACGATTTTTCATTCCCTATTGTTAATTTTCCCTGTTTAAACGGCAATGTTCCTTTGGCTCCATCATACAGTGTTTATATTTCCCAACTCGTTCGTAATGACCGTGTGCGTAGTGATGTCATACATTTTAACAAAGGTAATCAATGCATCACTGGTAAATTATTAAGTCAGAGATTTCGTTACTATAAATTGCTTAAAATAAAAATTTTACTAAATTATTTCATAGATACAAAGATTAGTAAATTTGGCTGTACCTGTAGAAAACTTATTAAAAACGGTATTTCACATCCTAAATTTTACGGTAATATTGCACTAAAAGCGCGGAAATCACTATGTGATCCGTGTAAACTCATCCAACCTTTAAACAAACTTATTAGTCAAGGTCATCTTACCAATGTTGTAATTAGATCTTTGAATATAGTTTACATTGACACAAATATCAATTTTGTCATCAACAAATCAAAACAGAACTAAATTTGTATTCTTTTGAAACGGTTTTTTTGGGATGTATAAATACACATGCACGTTCATTTTCTATATAGAGATTACTATATCTATATATTACATTATACATATTTATTAACAGGTTAACTCCTAACTATGCTACTGCCTGTCGATACTTTTATTTTAGCATTGCACACGTCATGTCTTCTTTGACTGTCCATGACGTTAAAACACTAAATCCCTGGATGTGTTTTAGTTGATTTTAGTCTCTGATGCATGATTTTTTATTATTAATTGTTTTTGGCTTTTAACTTGCTTTCAGTAACTGCGAGTACTCTTAAATCGTACTTTCGTGTTAATTTGACCTGTTGGTACAATTTTTAATGTATTTTTGTTATTTGATGTATACTTATTCAGTGTTATATCTAGTCTCACTAATTTTAATATATACCACCTTTTATACGTGTTTAGTATGACGATAAATTTTCACTTTTGTTCTCGTACTAGGAACAATAAAATTATTTATTTTGTAAAAATCATTTCCGTACTATATGTATTCCTTACAACAAAATTTTTTTTATTTACCTGTGTACGTTATTTTATTTGGCGAAATTTTGTCCAAGGTTATGGTTGTCTTTCTGATATTGTTTCATATCTAATCCCTTTGTTTTATTAATTTTGTTACATTGTGTCATAGATCAATTTTTTTCGTTCAGTGTATGTTCACTTGTTTTTGTTGATATGTCTTTTGATTGAGTTAAGCCATTTCAATTGATATTTTAAAGTGTGTCTTTCTATGTTGTGATGTTACACTATTGTTTCAGGTAGGGTGAAGGTTGGCGCCTATTAAAACGTTAAACCCGCTGCATTTGTTTGTAACTGTCCTAAGTCAGGAACCTGATGTTCTTTGGTTGTCGTTTGTTGATGTGGTTCATAAGTGTTTCTCGTTTCTCGGTTTTTATATAGATTAGACCGTTGGTGTTCCTGTTTGAATAGTTTTACACTAGTCATTTTTTGGGCCATTTATAGCTTGCTGTTCGGTGTGAGCCAAGACTCCGTGTTGAAGGCCGTGCTTTGTCTTATAATGGTTTACTTTTACAAATTGTGGCTTGGATGGAGAGTTGTCTCACTGGCACTCATATCACATCTTCTTATATCTACTTGTGTAGATCATTTGTCGATAAGTATCTATCATTAGTGTAGGTGCACACATCTTTAGATTTGTATAATGATGTCCCGATTGTTTAGTATCGACAATAATTCTAGACGATAATAAGCCTTTTAAATGTGTGTGTATGTTGATTTTTTTTTATTGGTATCAAGAAGTGTTTGTTAACTTCATATTTTCAACACAAAAGAAGCAGTGTAGGAAATTTAATTTTACTTTGCGTTTTGCTGTGTGTTTGTTTATTCCATATTGGCTAGAGATGCGGTTGGAGGGTTGAGATCTCACAAAACATGTTTAGCTACGCCGCATTACCATAACACACGAATACAACAGAAAACAATAAGATTTACAACTACAAACGATAAGACATTGACAAAATCCGATGAGAATAACAAATATAACATCAAAACTAAATACATGAATTTGGATAGAAATGTACCGTGACATAAATTAATGTAAACGTAATTTATTAAAGGATATATATATGATACAAAAGTGTTAGTTTTTTTAAGTTTTTAAGTTTTACGCGGAATGCAATGGGAACAAAGAGTTTTCGATTCAAAGCAAAATCATGTTTGTTAAATCTTTCATAAATTCACGCATAAATGTAAAACAATAATAAATAGGTAGTTATAAAGGTAAGCAAAAATATATCACACTTTAGTAAGCTATACTGCTCGTCGATAAGCGTCTTTTTTAAAGTCCCATAGCGTTTAACTCTCTTGATTCCTGACAAGCAGCACACGTTGTACAACATGCAACGATTATGCAGTCATGGCACATATCACCCTAGAATATAAAAGAAGCAATTTTAAAAACGTCCAAATCAATTTTAAAATGATCATTAAATCAAGCTGCAATATGCATTTTTGACTACATTCATAATGACTTTATGTTCAGAACTTGAATATTAGTCGACAACTGAATGCTAAATAAGTGTCTTTTACAGTCTGCCCATTCTTTTAATAAATGCACCTGAATGAATCTGAAAATAAAAAGGCTTGCTTTATTCATTCCAACTTTTTAACTTCTTGAAACTTTTCTATTGAATGATTTAGATACAGTTAAGGTTCGTACTAATATGTATTTCACTTACCCTTATTGCACCAAGAGTTCTGATTCTGGTCCTAATACCAATCTCTGCAGCAGGTACACAGCAGGTAGTGCAACAATTTTCACCTAAGCGAGCTGCAATTGAGCTGATAGCACAACAATAACAGCAACACACATACATACCTAAAATATCAAGTGAAAATTCTACTTTCCATACAGTGAACAGAAAATCGAATTATTGACATTTTCGAAAAAAATTGTACATTTTGTTTTATTTCAGAAAAAACTGTTTTACAATTACATTAGCATCGTTCAATTATAAATTCAAAATATCTTAAAAGAAATCATTGTTAATTGAGATGGTCACAAAGACTGTGATTAGAAAAAATGAGGGCGTGGAAGAATGAAAGTGTATAAATACGTTATTCAAAAATAGACAGTCATTATACCACATCTTCTCATATCTAATTATCAATGAAAGTCATAAATAGGTAACACCTGTCACACTAGTAACGGTCCTCAAATGATGCAAGCACTTTTTTCAGCTCATGACATCAGATTACACTGACTGCTGCGATCTGTTAGGATTCAACCACTACAGAAGAGAGTCGAAAGATACCAAAGTAACATTCAAAGTCGAAATCCAACGGACAACGCCTTGTCAATAATAAAAAACGACAAAAAAACAAACAACAGTATACAAAACACAACATAGAACCAATATACTGAACAACCCGAACCCTACTAAAACTGTGAGTGATCTCAGGTGCTGTAGAAGGGTTAGCAGAACCTCCTCCACGTGTGACACCCGTCGTCTTACTCCTATAAAATACGTTGAAAAGATATATCGAGTGATATGATATCACACGATAGCGGATTGGTAATTGACTATCTAACTTTAAGAAATCACTTAATTAATACACCATCAGTCATTTATTTTTAACAGTTTAAAGGGGCATTATCTAAGAAGTTGACAAAAAATCACTGGATAACTTTTTATTTTGGTTTCAAACATTTATAAAAGCGGAATTGTGAAATACTGTATCGCTATAAGCAGTCATCATAGGACTGCACGTGGTTGACTGTGTATTTATACTTATATTTATGTTTACATTTAGTCATATGACCAGCGGAAGTCTTTGGAAATCATCTCGATGGTTCATTAGATGGCGTCTATTATAAAATACACTTCAAATGTGGTTTTCATTTTTTGACTTTTTGTCATTCAAATAGACGTTTTAGTATGTTATAAATAAAAAATGATATTAAGAGTCGAGTGTCTGAACCTGAATTTGACAGCTAACGCCCCTTTAAGGAATACAGATTCGGCAATCAATCAAAAACATCCACAAAACAACGAATTATCTGTTATATTGAAATCATCACATAAAAATATAAAATTAAAAAATAGATTTTATTCAATATCTTATAATGATCTGTACTTGTTCAATAAAAATAAGTACTTTATTACAGTCATATATCTATCCCTTTTATCAATCACATATAAAATTATTCAAGAATCGATAAGTGCGACTGGATCTAATTGAATTTCATAAGATTGATAATGAGATAAGTTCCCACCTGTAGTTAAGATGAATTTACTTTAACATGTATCAATATACATACATGTTTTTGAATCTTATCGTAAGTTTACTTATACTATAAATTCAATGTATGGCATTTTTCAAACAATCTGTTTTTTTACGTGTGATACGTACTGTTGCCAACATCAGAAAAGCAATCAAATAGCCCAGACGTCCATTCCCTGGTTCCATGAACAGTGCCGACCAACAAAGGATTGGTCGTCACACCTGGTTGGTTGACGATTACAGTTGTCGACTGTTGTTGTTGATGATGTTGTGGATGAGCTTGCGGTTCTCTGCCCATTGTTTGTTGGGGTGGTTGCATTCCATAGCCTTGATTTTGAGCCATACTTTAATGCAAACTGTACTAGGATAAAACTGAAATGGTTATATAATATTAAACATACAGTCTATTAAACTTACATTAGACATTTATTTATTAATGTAGAATCATCAAAAACAAATTAATCTCATGACAACATGCATTTGGCTAATTCATGTTGTTCATGTTTGACTTAAAGTATTTAGACTGTAAAACCGATCTGAATCATAATTGGTGCTCAAATCGGAATGAAATGTGACTCATATTACAACATATAAATGCAGACCGAGATATTCGAAAATTTACCAAAGAAAGACTAGGACCGTTCTTAATCTAATCTAAATGGCCTTTGGGTGTGATGAATTCATCTGTGTAAGACTATGCGATTCAAACAAGAGTTACGTGACTAGTGTTAATATTTGAACAGGAACTCCGAAGCACATTTATTTGTCTTTTTTAAAGGAGGGGAGGCATCATTATGTTATGTTTGGTAAATTGTGGTAGTCTTATCGTAAATTTTCTGTTATGTTGTTTTCTTGTTTGTCCTTTATCCACTTGCAATTTTCATTGACCCTCATTGTATCGTCTGTTAATTAGTGAAAAGGCGTCATCAAAGATATTTTATTTCTACTGTAATCTGTATAGATCAAGTTAACATGAGAACAATGGTCAGTCGTCTAGTAGGGGATAAAACGTGATAACTATTTAAATGTAGACTGTTTTTTTATTAACTTTATTTCAGTCAGTTAGACCAAACGACACTTCCATAATCTAGTCGTTGGTGTTCGTTTTTAAATTGTTTCACATTTAGTCATGCTGCAACCTTGTTTTTTTTTAACTATACGGAACATATGAAGGCCTTAAAATTACCTATACTTGTGTATATTTTTTACGTTTGTCCAATGAGGACAGTTGTAATATTGGCAATCATAATAAATCTCCTTATTTCAATAAAGCTCAATCATTCAAATTCTTTCTAATTCAGTGTATTTTAATATCAGTCAAAAAGTAACAATATACTATGGGGATATTAAACTGCCAATAATTAAAGAAAGTCCGGAAAGCAATCACATAAAAATAGACTAACAGCTTTGATTGAACCAAAGTTCGTCAGATGGCAATACCATTCCTGGTTAGCTTTTCAAACCTTTTTCGCATAACAAAATATTATAAACAAGTATAGAAAATAACTGAATTGTGTTTACAAGATATTGCAAAACTCGTAAATTTTGGTGTAAAGATGAAGACATCGGTATAACTTTTGTCAATTTATTATTCAAACTAAGTAGTTTGATTATGGTAGTGAATAAAAGCTTTTATTTTAAAGGAAATTTAAGACGACCAATAATTCAATGTATTTTAAATATACGGGAATAACATCTCTTCTCAATTAATACTATATCAATAAATCAAATAAATAAATTGCACATGAATATACAAGACTACAGAAACAACATTATACAAAGTTCAAAAAGTGTTTAATTCAAATGAAAAAGTCTTCAAGTTTAATAATATAAAGGATTGCATTCGTAAAAACCAGACACAAATGACGTAAAAGGTTGTATTCAAGATAAACACATAAAAGTTATCAGTAAATGCTATTGATTACACGGAAACCGTTTTCTCAAATATATACTTACTCAGATACAAATTTTGGTGCGTTCACTAGTTAAATGTGAGGTATTTGCTTAGTGAATGTCACCAGCCAAATTCTAAATAACATTAGGTATTCAATAGTAATAAAAGATGCGCTTGTTTTCAGGTTTGATTAAGTCGTAAAATATCTCTATATAGATCAAAATATGGGTCCGTCAGATTTACGTCAAACTTTCAAACCTTGTGTTTAACAATAATGTTATGTCAACGTTATATTATACACAACAGATCTAGATTTTAAGAATAAAATAAAACGTGTGCTGACGATTCGAATATGTGTACTCGAAACAAAACTATTATCCGCAAAACATGCAAAATGATTTTGTAGATTGACATGTCACTTACCAGGAGTGTTGGTATTCGGCCGTTCTACATAAAATACAAGAATTGCATGCACTTGTTCGCTTGCACCTTTTTTGCAACAGTAAGAGTCCGCAGAATTTGTATAAGATTTGGTTTGGCCTAAAAGTAACATTAACTTTATAACAATCATCAAATGTTATAAAAACTTAAGTTTTATCATTTAAATTTACGAAAACCTGCCTATTCAAAGATTCAATTACATTGTATTGTCTAGAGACATTCGTGCAGGAAGTTTTATAAGTAGTTTACGTTCTAATAATTTTCAAATAAAAATTTCATTTAAGAAACAGTCTTTTGTTGTCTATAATGTTTTTTCTCTTAGTAAAATAAACTATGTTAACTTGTACATGTTATGCAATAGTGGTGCATATGATAAGGTGTAAAATCAACGAAACATATGTATTTGTTAATCAAAAAGTCGTATGCCAATGCACAATTCAAGAGATGGTAATAGAATAAAAGTCATAACAGACATTTACATGGCCAAAAGAAAAACGAAGAGATTAAAAGAAACAAAAATTTTGTTTCATGTTAGATAGAATTTATTTGGTTTATCTACACAATGCATATATGTGCTAAATTATGTTCCACAAACTGGTTACACTTAAACAGTACTTTAAGAAAATAGAAATACAATGTGGTGTATATCAAACATTCACAATGGGACACTACTAATATCTGACTGCCAAAAAGAGTCTAAGTCACAGGTACTTGTTGATAAATTCAAGTACACCTTTTTCCTAGTATTTTTTTTTTTTATTTTTTATTCTTTTCTACAAAAAGAATTGCCTACTTCTAAATATATAACATGAATGCAAGTAATGGTATCAGGAAGAATAACGAAAACTTTTGGTTTGATTTCAATTTGGGCATTAGAAGGCCTATGCATCAATGTCCAGGATTTTCATTTAGTCGTTTGTCGTTATTTTACAATGATCTTATGTTGAGTTATTAAGGCATTTAAAATCTCAACAAAAATGAATCTTATTACGGACTAGACGTTAGAAGAAAGTAAAATAACAAAAATACCGAACTCTAAGGAAAATTAAAATGGGAAAGTCCCTTATCAAATGGCAAAATCAAAAGCTCAAACACATCAAACGAATGGAAAACAACTGCCATATTAGCTTCGTCTTCAGTGTCCATAACATAAATAGTTATAGGCGATCTACTGATTTGGAATAAGAAAAGGTAGTAAAATGAATGATGCACTTTATTCCAAAGTTGCATGACCGTGTTTGACAGCATTCACGTTAAAAATAACAAAAGAAAAAAATTGTTTTAACGTATAACATTTTTATTTTCAATTGATCTTAGTCAAATAAAAAATAAAACATATTAACATAAGAAAATTATAAATGTCACTGTAGAAAAAGGCCAAATATAAGATTTTAAATAGTACATTTACAATTGCATACTTTTGATCTTTTTATAAGATAGAAAAGAATTTTTGTGCAAATACACAAGTATATTGAACAATGAAAATACATTTCTGCACAAAATATTTCATTTGTTTTACGTTGTTTTCCTATCGTCCTTGATTTAAAGATGTGTAAATTTGTAAACGTACCACCTAATTATGTTTTAATATCGATAAGGATTAAAACGATCATAGTCGACATTAAAATGATGGAAACCTGAAAGAGGGAATAGAAAATAAAAGTCTTACCAACTCTCTTGATATCCTACGTCCCACAGAGGTTGCTAGGCGCATATTGACAAGTTCGCGATCGTGCTTGAACAAGTTAAAATTCTTTAGAAATTCATAATTGATAGAGAATGTTTTAGATTTGATTTAATGTGATACACAATAATTTCAAGTTAAAAAGGTAGAAATAAATAATTATGTTTTTTTGGGAAAAAACATGGGGTTTAAATTTGTTTTGTTGAAGTTTTTTATATTACATTTATTTGTTTCATAATGTATAAACATTTCTTGTTGTTGTTGGGTGAGGAAGGCGTGGGGGGGGGGGGGGGGGGGGGTCGGTTGGTGTTTGGTGGTATTCGTTCGTGCTGTGTGTGAACGTTTGTGTTTTGTGTGAACGTTTGTGTGATATTCGCAATCAATTAGAGGAAAGACAAAAAGAATTAGCTGTTAATCAGCATGTGAATTTTTGGTGCAGGTCTACTAGACGACATTTAACAATGTGTCAAGAAGTTAGTAATTAATAGAATTTCGAGCATGTTCCAAATTGTCAAAAACAAATTTCTTGCTAAACCAATAATCTCAGAGATGATCATACATGTCTTTTTTCTATCAGTTGTAAAATAGCACAAACACGTTGAGAAACTTTGCATTTTATAAAAACCCTGCAAAAAGTCATATCTTTTTAGGCATACCGCTTTTTGTTGTCATTTCACGTTCTTTGACTCGTAGCATGAGTTCATAGATTTTCCTTTTAAGTATTCCGAACAAAGTGTGAAAGTGCGCATTCGATTTTGTGGTTGTAGCTGCCAGCTGTTGCCCCCATTGTCTTTACATCTGTGTTGAGTTTCCAACATTTGGTAGGCGCCGTGGTTAAATTGGCTTTCTTATATACAGCAATATCAGCCATGTCTGTAAGGTAGTCAAAAGAAGGAATATAATCAAAACTGAGAGACAAATATTCCTTTTGCATTGTCCGTTTGGTATATAAAAGGTAACTTATTTTTTGGTGAACCAAACTTTCTAACAGTGAATATTCTATCATCTTCATGATATTTAATCAAAGATTGCAGCACATATAGGTAAATGTCATGCAGGTTCCTTTATAGCAACACAATGTCTCCTTTCTTTATATGTTTATGTACTATTATTGTATAATTCGTGATATTAATTATTTTGATAACGAATGTTAATATAGGCATATACAAAAACAGTATATAAATAGTTCTTTTGAATTACCAAATTACAATCAATAAATTACATTACTAAGAAATAAAAACGGATATTTTAGGTTTTTTGTTTCTGTTACCTTATCTTTTTAAACATTTCTATAGTACCAGGTATCAATGACCTTAACTAAGTTTTCATTTTGATTAATCTTTGTCGTCAAGATATGAGTACCCGTTCACATATACTTTGCGAAAATGTTCTTGAGATGAAACTATTGTCTGAAAGCTTACAGTATGTTTAGATTGAAATAAGAAGATCTGGTACGATTGCCAGTCAGACAACTCTCCACCAGAGACCAAATGAGATAGAAATGAGAAACGATAGGTCACTTTGCGTTCTTCAACAATTATTGAGCAAATCCAATACCGCATTATCAACTATGAAAGGCTCCAAAATGACAGATGTCATTTGGAGAGTTGTCTCATTGACAATCATACCACATCTTCTTATTCTTATAAGATCAGTTTTGCATACCAGTACCGAATAGCTGAGCTACATCGATGGTGAATCATTCGAGGATTAAAAATAAAAGAGGTTTGAACCCAGTTGGAGTAATAACATTAACGCTACCAAATTTACTACACCAGATACGCATTTCGACAATTAGTTATCCTAAAATGATATTCGACATCAAAATATACAAAATATACAAAAACTAACACAAACTTAGAAGACCGGATTGCAATAAAAAAGCACCAAATATATAGCCAAACTTTGAAAAAGAAACAGATTCATACCCTCCGAGACTTAAAGTTCACTAGCAAAAGTGTCAACCGAGTGGTAGGAATAATATTAACGGTATCCATTGCACTGTACAGAATGAGAATTTCGACACTTTATGTCTACCCCATTGTAGCTTGCTGACAAATTATTTGAAAACACAAACACTGATAAAAACGGTTAATAATAGTTTGATAAAAGCAAACAAAAGTTAAGCTAAATTTCTTCAAATGATTTCAATTTTTTTATAATAACATGTTACAATAAACCAATATCCGTACTTGCAATCCAGTACAAGGTTATCTTTTGACCTTGCACTTTTTCCCTAAAACAGATTTGATAACCTAAACGAAACAATTCTTCTGATTGAAAACAAAAACAACTATAGCATTCAGTTTCAATCATTGCTCTCTATCTTGCTTTTCTAAACATATGTAAACACATTTCATACACATGATACAGTACACAATATAATTGACCTCAATTTTATTCTCATTCTGATGACAGACAAGAGTTTTCCAAAAATCATAAATGAGGCCTTTAAATTATAAGGTAGTTTCTTATTTACAGATACAAGGTTAATGTACCCTTAAATACAAACTTAAACATACATCGACAGCTTTGTTAGTATGTGCCTGTCATATGATCCCCTTAACAACCTAAGATAATACTTGTGTCTATAAAATTTATACGATTTTCATAAAGTGATAAAAGTTTGTGAGACGAATATTAACATCTTGATTAAAAGTAATGTTTTACGATATATCATAGTTGATCACAAAAAAGTCATGACTTTTGTGTATCTCGAAAAAAGTAAAATAACAAAAATACCGAACTCCGAGAAAAATTCAAAATGGAAAATCCCTAATCAAATGGCAAAATCAAAAGCTCAAACACATCAAACGAATGGATAGCAACTGTCATATTCCTGACTTGGTACAGGCATTTTCTTATGTAAAAAATGGTGGATTAAACCTGGTTTTATAGCTAGCTAAAACCTCTCACTTGTATGACAGTTGCATAAAATTCCATTATATTGACAACAATGTGTGAACAAAACAAAACAGACATTATAGGTAAAAATGTCAAAAATAGGGGTACAGCAGTCAACATTGTGTTATAAACTAAATCATTATAAAAACAAACAAATTGGTCAACAAAGAAAAACAAAAAGTCATATAGACAAAGCACATTAGCAAAAACGAAAGACAAGAATACAAAAATTTACCATAGCACAACAACACAATGACGGGATGTATAAGCCACGTAAAATGGATATTACCAAAAATAGACAAAACAGTAAAAGTAATAATTTACAAAGAACACTATAACACGTAATTAAGATGACAACGTCTGTACCTAGAATCTATACTTCAAGACCATCGTGTATTATTTGTGAAGTTGATACGGAATATTTATCAACAAGGACAAAGGAAAAGGACGAGACGTTCTTTGACATAACCCTGGTTCATCAACTTTCTGCTCAGACACAGGTGACGTTTTACAAAGTCTGAATAGCAGCTGCAAGCTCTTGAATACCGAAGAAGTTGGGAAAGGTATATCCCATATGCAGGTGAAGTTCGTATATTGCTACTATGTTAGTGGGAACATTACAATTTCAAAATTAAAATCGTCTCGTTTGTCATAGATTCTGGTACTGAGATGATCACTAATGTCAAATTCGAGGTATAAGTATAAAAATGAGGCTCAATGAACACACTAAATCTGCGGCAAAATCCCAATAGTATTTTGCAAGGGGACTGGGTTCTAACACGCCAAATAGTTATTTTTAAGTATTATGCAAATATTCGGTTCACAATGGTTAAAGGTCAAACCAGCAACACATTCCACCATCCCGGTCCATACAAATAAAACTGGATTTGCCGTTCAGAAGCTCCATGAAAAATTATATTAAAGACGTAAAATTAGTAAATAAAGTACAATGTATTATACGATTTCTGTTGCACAACACTTGTCTGAGTAGCCCTGTGTACATATTTCTAAAATTCCCTTTTCTATCATGTAATCCTTGAATATCGATTATATAGGCGTATAGCTTACAGCTGATTACATAATACTAAATTGTCCTTTATAATCCACTTAATTTCAATCAATTATATTAAAATACTGTGTATTTAAAAAATCGGTAAAACATGTCTTTGGTTCTCACGCATGTTATAATTAGTTAGCTTAGCTTGTTTATGTGATCAAATAACAGACACATACTAGCAAGCACGTCGCTTTATGTTTAAGTTTGCGTTCAAGGTTACATTAACGTTTTATTTGTAAACAACTATTACTATTGAATATACTTCCTTATAATTCAAAGGCCTCATTAATGATTTTTTTGAAAAATCTTGTCACTGTACAATGAGAATAAAACTGCGACTAATTATATAGCGCACTGTCGAAAATGTGTTTAGACATTTCGAAATAAGGCAACAGAAAGGCTAATGGTTGAAACTGATTCATATCGTTTGGTTTGGTTTTTTTTTATCAGAATAATTATTTAGTTTAGGCTATCATATCTGTGTTAGTAACAGTGTCAAAAGATAACCTTGGTACTGGATTGCATGTACGGATATTTATTTATTGTAACTTGCTATTATATTAAATTTTAAGAAATCATTTGAAATTAGGAAATGTATCCCCCTCATTCCTTGATCAGATTTAGTTTTACGTTGTTGTTGTTTCATCAAACTCTTAAACGGTTTTTATCGGTGTTTGGATTTTCAAATAGTGTGTCATCGAACTTCAATGAGGCAGATACAATTAGTTAAAATAGTAAATATTCATTCCAAACCTAATCAATTATATAAGAATACTGTGTTTTTTAAACATCAGTACAAATGTTTTTGATTTTCACGTTTGTCATAATTTAATTCGTAAAATTGATTCATTTCAAAAAGTTTAAATCCTGATAACTATGTCAATAAATACTTTCCTGTTATATTCATATGTCTTATGCAATGCAATATGCATCTATTTTCTTTCATTAAATCTGGACTACTCATGCAAAAGGATGCTTATTGCTAACAATTTCTTTGGATTACGGTTGTGAGAAGTGCACATAAAAATGTAGAGATCAGCCAAGATATAATGCGAACTATACCGCTTAGTTTAAGGAGTGTATTTGTACAACAATG